GGGGCGGCTGAGGGCGGCGGCGGGGCCGGCCGCGGGAGCCGCCGGGCCGGCGGAGAGAGGCCGCAGGGCATGCCAGCCGCCTGCCCCGATGTTTCACTGGAGCAAGTGGAAGAAGAGGATGGGAGCGAGCGCCTCCTCCTCCAAGAGACCCGTCTTCGACGAGCGGGAGGACGGTGAGTGCGGACCGAGATGCTCCGGGGTGCTCGCCCTGCCCGGGATGCTCTGCCCTGCCCTGCCCGGGTGTCCAGCTCGGGGCCCTGCCCGGGTGTCCAGCTCGGGGCACTCTGCCCTGCCCTGCCCCGGCGGCGCCGTTGCCGCGGTGCCCCCGTTCCCAGCCCGGGGTGCCCATCCCGCGGTGCCCGTCCCGGGGTGCCCATCCTGCGGTGCCCGTCCCGGGGTGCCCATCCCGCGGTGCCCGTCCCGCGGTGCCCATCCCGCGGTGCCCCCGTTCCCAGCCCGGGGTGCCCATCCCGCGGTGCCCGTCCCGGGGTGCCCATCCCGCGGTGCCCGTCCCGGGGTGCCCATCCTGCGGTGCCCGTCCCGGGGTGCCCATTCCGCGGTGCCCATCCCGGGGTGCCCCCGTTCCCAGCCCGGGGTGCCCATCCCGGGGTGCCCGTCCCGGGGTGCCCATCCCGCGGTGCCCCCGTTCCCATCCCGCGGTGCCCCCGTTCCCAGCCCGGGGTGCCCATCCCGCGGTGCCCATCCCGCGGTGCCCATCCCGGGGTGCCGAGCTGCCCCGCCCGGCACTGGGGTCCCCCGGCGGGGGCCGTGCCCGCAGGACGCAGGGACCCTGCCCACGGACACCCCGCGGGCACGGGGCGGCCGCCGTTAAAACGGGGGCTGGGGAGGCGGTGGCGAGGGCACAGCCGAGCAGCAGAGTTTCAGTCTGGGCACCGACAGCCCCGCTTGGACCGAGGAAGGGCCAAGTGCCGCCGGCATCAGCACCGAGCGCTGCTGCCGGTGCAGAAAGCTGCTCTGGGGTTTTCCCCAAAATACCAGCTTGGGTGGGGAGTTTTAGGAATACGCCGTGAAATGCCACCGTTGCATTAAAATCGTGGGTGTAGGGTGAAATTTCAGAGGAGCAAAGGAAGGAAACTTTGACTTGGGTGGGGGAAGAGTCGGGAAAGCCATCGGGCCAGCAGACGGGTGCCGGGTGGCCGGGGCACTCCTGAATGCTGCGTTGGCCCTGTGGCATCAACTGAGCACACACAACAGTCCCTGTGTGTGGGGGGTGCTGGAGCTGTGCACTGGATAAACCTGGGGTTCGATGTGTTAGTGTGGGTCTGAGTGCAGTGATGTGAGGGTCAGGGTGTGCTGGAATTCCCTCGGTGAGGGAACCACACCTGTCTGTGCTGCTCTGGCAGCTGACAGGTTAAATCAGGCACACGTCCTGGCACAAGAGCTGGTTATTTCTCCAACAAGTTTTTATTAGCAATTCACACTGAGCAAGCCGAGTGGAGACACTTAAATCGGAGGCTTCACTGCAATTACATTCTGAAAACAAAATTTCTTTCTGAGAGGCTTTTAATTCTGCCCTGAGCCTGTGTGCAGGCAGCCAGGGTGAGTGAGCTCTGCAGCTGAATGGCTGCTGGCAGGAGCCTGGGGACACCTCTCCAGGTACTTTCAATCAGCACTTTCCCTGTGTCCCAATTATTGGCACATTGCTTCCTTGATATCTCCTGCCTTTCCATAATTCCTTGTTAGAGTGTGCTCAGAGCAATTACAGTGTTGTTCCAGTGAACTCATATTTACTGTCATGGCACAGTTGCTATGGTGATCTCCTAAGACATCCCAATAACTTCCTTAGATAAAGAAGCCAGTTGATGCTTGGGTTTGTGTGTGACATAATGTCTAAGAGTTACCAGTGACAACAATATAATGAGAAATCAATTAAAAATATAAAAAGGAAAAGGCCATTTGGTATGTCAGATTTTGCCCATACATGGTTCCTTGTGATGGATCTCTGCACAAGGATGAGCCTGACTGCTGAAATCCAGCAGATAACCCCTGTTAATTTGTCACGGTGTATGTAAATAGAAGGTTAACATTTATTGTAGTCACTAGTAACACAACCAGTACTAAGATCGTACTCCAAATCATTACAGACCTTCCAGTCTTTGTCCCTGACTTCCTGGGGACTGGTTTTGGGACTCCACTGAGTCACAGTGGCAGGGGATGTCCTGGGGGACAGCATGCTGTCTTTGCCCTCTCTTGGTGTGAAATGCCTGGCTCCAGAGGGTTCTCCACTGTTTCCCCTCTGTTAAGAATTGCCATTTCTCCTCGGCCTGCGCCTGTGCAGCCCCAGCTGCTGTCGGATCTCCTCTGGACCAGTGCTCCTGTGTCACACCCCTCTCTCTGGGAGGGCTGCTGCTGTCCTTGGGGTGTGTGGGTTGAGCTCTCTGGGTCTGACTCCGAGGGTAAACGTGGCATTCCAAAGTGTGTGTGTGTCCTAAGGACCTTCCCTCCACCCTCTCCTCTTCTTCAGCATCTTTTCTGTCGGTGCTCCCGGGCTTGTTCTTTGGCAGAGGGGGAAGCTGGTGCTGGTTCAGCCAGGCTGGCTCCTGCTCCAGCCAGGGCCAGGGCGGTGCAGAGCCGGGCTCTGGGGAGCCGTGCCCAGGACACGGGAGCTGTGCTGCTCCCTCCGTGCTTCCCTCCTGGCTGCTGTGGTGTTCCCGTCCCCACTCCCCGTTCGGGAGCCTTCCCGAGGCCGTGGTGCCAGGTGAGCCAGGTGTGCCTGGTGCTGTGTGTGGGGCAGGGCCCACGTGTCGGACCCCTTGGGGTGCCCGCCGCGCTGCTCCCTGCTCGCACACACAGCCTGCCAGGGATTTCTGGGCTGCTCACAGCTGGGGCTCAGCTAAGGGGAGAGCTGCCTGTGAGAGGACAGTGCCTGTGTGTTTGTGTGTGCTTCCAGGGAGCCCTGGCGTGAGGGAGATGGGTTTCTCTGGCTGTGGGAGCCGCTGCTGCAGCTGGTTCCAGTCCCACGGAAAAGCTGGCAAGCTGCACATCCATCAGCTGGGAGGGAGCTGCAGCCTGTCCAGCTGAGATACTGCCCAGGGATGCCTTTGTGAGAGCTGGGGTTTGGCCAGGTGCATTGTACCCCGTTCATGAGCAGAGAAAGTTAGTGAATGGAGGGAAGGAGGAAAAAACAGAGCAAGGAGAAAAGTATGGGAAGAAGAAAACAAGGCAAAAGAACAGAGGGGCTGCAGGGTGGAGCACTCGGGGTTGAGGTGTGCTGGAGTAAGGTGGGCTCAGCGAGCTGGTTTGTGGGTTCTGCATTACCACTGTGGGCTGTTTTCCATCAGGAAAAACACACCCTTGTCTGCAGGGACTTTTCAGGGGCTGTTTTTTGTACCTGTAAGTATTTTCAAAAAATTCCTCACTCAAGAGTGGATTTGTTCTCCAGCCCAGAGGAAGGGTGGGCAGTGCCTGTCTGCTGGCTGAGACACATCTCTGTGCAGGGCACGGGGCACTGGGGTGTCTCACAGAATCACAGAATCGTTTGGGTTGGAAAAAACCTCCAGGATCATCAAGTCCAAGCTGTGCCCACCAAGGGATCCCCACCCTGTCCCCAGCTCTGAGTGCCACCACCTGCAAGTGCCAGGATGGGCACTCCAACCCTGCCTGGGCAGTGCCAGTTCCTGATCCCCCTTTCCATGGGGAAATTCCTGCTGTGCCCACCCTGAGCTGCCCTGGCCCAGCCTGAGGCCGTTCCCTCTGCTCCTGTCCCTGTTCCCTGGAGCACAGCCCGACCCCCCGGCTGTCCCCTCCTGGCAGGAGCTGGAGAGAGAGAGGAGGCATGGAAGTCATGAGGCTTGTTTGTCATTTGGGCAGGAATTATGCTGTTGTTCTGGGAAACAGCCAAGCAAGTTTTATTGACATCTTCCTCCTTTTTAGAAGGAAAAAAAATATTATTATTTTTTTTTTATTTTTTTGCCAGGTGAGGAAAACCTGTAATTGTGAAGCCAATGGGAATGTTTCAACCCAGATATCTGAAAAACGCTTAGCAGAGTTGTTGGACTTGGGAATGAGGCTGAGCAGGAGGAAATACAGGACACACTTAGTGCTATTAGCATTGCCCACAGTTTGTTACATGGGAGAGGGGGGGAAACCACAGCGAGATTTATCTCTCTATGCAATTATGTCTGAAGAGGAATTTCAAGAGTGCATTTTGGATGTGGTTTCTCCTGAATCAAAGTGGTTTACTAAAAAAACTGTGTGTAAATATACATGAGAATCTGTGAAGCCATCTGCTGCTTTGTGCTTTGCTGTGCCTCCCCTCGCTGACACGAGGCGAGTGGCCCAGGGTTCCTGTCCATGTCCTGATGCTGAATTAGTTTTTTCTGCTGATGTACAAGGTTTTAGTGGTGCAGCCCAGTGACTTTCATCATGGTTAGTATTTTGTCTCAATCACTTTTCCCCCCATCCCTTGTTTGACTCTGCCAGAGTGCAGATGGTGTTTTGTAAGGGGGTCAGTGCAGGCGCCTGTGTTTATCCTACTTGCATCAAAATCAACTTTTGAACACGTTTCCAGTTCTGTAGCTCATGGGTGGCGCTCTCCTGGTAAAGCAGCCTGGTCCCCCAGGGGTCCCCATGTCCCCTGAGCATTGTCCCTGCTGCTGGCCGTGCTCCTGCCAGCTTGGCTGCTCCTCACAGAGCCCGACTGTCACCTCAGCTGGGCGGTGATTGCAAGCCCTGGGCAGGAAACATTGCCCTTTCATTGGAAATCTATGGTCTAGTGCCCAGTAAGGCAGCTGTAAAATCCCAAATACTACTTATTTGGGGTCAGACACAGATGTGTTAAGCTACCATGCTCTTCAAACCACTGACTGAAGTCTTCCCTGCTCAGACTGCAGTGAGAACTTTTCCCCCAGCCTGACTTCCCTGGCTGTGGGTTGGGAGCACAGATGCCTTCCCTGATATTTAAACACAAGGGAAAAAAGCCTTTCTGTATTATCAAAGTGGTAGCTAGGAAAGCAGGCGGGGGGAGGAGGGAGTGGGAATTGCAAGGAGGTGTCAGCAAAGCTGTGCTCAGCGCTGCCAGCAGGGCTTTGTTCCGGCTGCCCCCGGCTCGGGGATGCTTTGCCCAGGGACTTGTGCCCTCCCTGGGGTCTCTGTCTCTGGCCACTGCCCCTCATTCCCGCCACACACCAAAAACCTTCCTGGCCGTGAAGCT